CCCAGAGTTCAAATTGGCGTGCGTTCGCGCGTGCTGGTGACAGCATCTCTTGGAGCAGAAAACGGACGCTGCGCAGGTTGAGGGGGAAGGGAAAAATTGCGACTTTCTGTTGAACTTGTACACACATGTAGACATATTTACTTATGTGTATAGTATATATGCAAATAGAATTACGTTTGATTACGTTTGTGTGGGGAGGAACGAAATAGACCCCAAAGGTCCCTGCCACATATATATATATATATATATGTAGTGCTCCACACTTCATCTAAAACTCTTGCATCAAAAACTCAGCTGGGCTTGTCCTCCACAGGAGAGTGAAGGGGAGAATTGAGGGGAGACCCTCGGCGACTCTCTCCGAAGCCGAGGCCACTGTGGCCTACAAGTTTCCAGAGCCTAAGAGCCTATGACACGGATCCACCAAAACATCTCGCTTTTATGAAAGGCTCAACGGTTCAACGACTGGATTTGTGGTATTTTCGCAGAGCAAGTCTTAAATGAGGGGATATGAGGGGAATTCTGGAAGTTGATCTGGGATTCCCCTCCAAGCTCATTAGCCAAGCTGCATCTTGAATTGATCTGGCTCCGTCAAAATTTCTCTCAAACAGCCGACCATCTGATCCATCCGACCTCGAACGTTCGTGGAGACTGTTGCAGTTCGATGCCTTGGTGGATGAGATGATCATGCGGGATGTGTCGGATGTACTGCAAGAAATCACCAAGAAACGGAATGGTTTCATGAAACGATTTCCCAACATGAATCAAAAAAAGGGTTGATCATCATCTGCACACTGAGGCAGGCAACAGAATCAATTCCCCCATTTTTTTTGGATGGTTTTATCCTTCTCAACAAAAATCAGTTAAACAGTGATTTTCCAAGTCACTCATGGCAGGCTCTATGTTAATTTCCTGCAATGACTGATTGGTCGGCCTGGGCTTGGGCTGAATGGGTCTGGCAGCTGCTTCCAAGATGGCCCCAGCAGCGTCAGCATCGCTGACACCGGACCTGTGCTGCTCTGGGAGACGTCCTGATGACATGCCATGGAATGCCATGGAATGCCATGGAATGCCATGGAATGCCATGGAATGCCATGGAATGCCCACCAATAAACCACCAGTTGGGGATGGTTTACAGGGGAATTCTCAACAAATTTCAATGGCCATTTCAGCGACCGAAATTCCAGGTACCTACCGTATCTAAGTGCTATGGACCAGCTATGTATATAAGGAAATATCCCCACAAAATCCGCATGATCTGGAAGCAATTGCACTAGCTACTAAGCTGTAGCTTGGGGGGGCTATTTTTGCTCTTGATTCGTATGTTTTTCCACGTATTTTTAAGGGGCCTAAAATTGCCAAACTTGGGCTCAACATAGGCCAACATGGGCCCATCCCCAACATGCGTCCTACAAAGGCCCAACATAGAACATATGGTTTTATTTATTGGAATTTCGTAGCCAACACTCCAGTGCGGACGCTTGCCGTGGCGAAGCGACCAGAATATGGAAACATGGTTTTTCCACCCACAGTGCTTCCGCCAATTCTTTCGCCTCAGGGCTTCGGTCAAGATGCCACCCACCAGCGACCCAGCAAGGTCCTTAGGTGCAAATCACCCTGCTGCCTGGTGAAGTTGACATGGCAATTTCCACCAACTTGTGGTGATCTGGTGTGAATATCTGGTCGAGCAATTGAACCAACTTGGGGTTTTGATGTTGATGCAAAACTACTGGGTCCATGCGCGACTGTGGCTCCAAACATCTTGGCTTTCCTTGGGCTGCGGGGTCTTCTCCTCAGAAGTTCTGGTGTTTTGCCCTTGGGCAAACTCAGATTGGCAATGAATCCAAGTAAAGAATTTTACCAGATTGCCAGAGCTTAATGACGCCGTCTGAATTCATTGAGTTGCAACATCCTTCTCTAAAAACGGTTCCGAATTCACCAGACTCATCGCAGATGTACCATCTGGGTTTGCGGCATCATCACCTCAGACCATAGCCGGTTTTCAAACATCCACAGCTGGTGTTTTTCGTTGCTGCGAAGTCACTGAAGTCGCTGAATTTCATCTCTCCAACGCCTGAAACACCAAAAAACACAAACCAATGATAGGGATTCCCATAACGGATTATGAGAATCCCCAAAATATATAAATATATATATATATAAATAAATATTGTGATTTTTCAATAATCCATTCCAGCAATCCATGGGGTCCGTCGTCATGTCCACTACATGCCTGACTTGTGGGTCCATCCGTTACTACAACTTCCAAAGCTGCCAGCTTGCCGATGTGTAGGCCCGAGACAGGGGGTTGTACGTAGGTGGCGAGTTCCAAAAGGGTGGACTCGTGCTGCCAGGGTTGCGGCCGGTGTTTTCTTCGTTATAGCCATAGGAGTGGCTGGGTTCAATCTAGATTGTGGAGATCGTGGTATTCCCATTGGTATTTGGATTCAGGTGGATCACAACATTTCCTTTTCTATTGGTTTGGACGATCATTCTGATCATCGTTGAGGAACCTGTTGGAGGTGAAAGGCGCCCTACCAATTCACAGTGGTAGCGGAGCCGAAAGCTCCTCAGGGACTCCGGCTACCGGGTGGCCAGCAAATTTTTGGGGCACAGGAATTTTTCTCAGTGCCGACCTCTGCATAGGTCTTTGCGTGTTCCTGGAAAGGAGCCGATTCAGCCGAGATCTTTGGAGTGAGACAACATGTCCATAGATGGAGCAGACGGTAGTGAGCCATCAGTGACCACACCGGGACCTGCTTCCCATCTTCCGTGGCATTTGATACCAATTTTCGAACCAGGACAATCCGATTTGACAGAATATACAAGGCGCCTAGAGTTCCTCGCCGGATTATGGCCAGCTGAATATCTAGGGCAATTAGCACCAAGGGCAGCTCTTCAGTGCAAGGGATCAGCATTTCAGAAGGTGGTTCGCATTCCTCCAGAAAAGTTGAAAACCAATGACCTCACAGGTGTCAAGCTTTTGGTACAAACCTTGGGCGGAGTGTGGGGAAAGACAACTTTGGAGGACAAGTACGAGAAGTTTGAACAAGCAATCTATGGAATTTCCAAGAAATCTGATGAAAGTAACGAAAGTTACATGGCCCGTCATGAGATTGTTTTTGAAGACATGATCTCTCAGGGAGCCACCATGACCGATGTCCGTGCGTATGTGTTGCTGAGGAACAGCATTCTGAGCGCTGAGGACAAAAAGCGCTTGATCGTGGAATCCAAGGGTGACCTCAAGTATGCCGATGTGACACAAGCCATCAGAATGTTTGGAGCAAAGTTTTTCATGGATGTTCAGGGTCAACAACGTGTACACAAAACCAAAACGTATGATGTGAACTACACCCAAGAAGCTGATGAGGAATTTCAGTATGGGGATGATCACAATTTTGCATTCACCGCTGATGCTTCAGAAGTTTCTGACATGATGCTGGATCAATTTTTGAGTGAAGGGGACGAAGACGCCCTTGTAGTGCAACAATTTGAAGATGCCTTGATTGACTCCGTGCAAGGGGATGGTGAGATGTCTGCTTTCATGAGTACGTACCTGGAAGCTCGAAGGCGACTCACTGAGAAGACCCGAAGTCGTAGGTTTTGGCCGATTCGTGGCAAGGGCAGTGGCAAAAAGGGCAAATCGAAGCCTGGTTTCCAACGACACCGGAAGCCCTTAGCAGTCAGAATTGCTGAGTCAGATTGCCGATGCTGCGGCCAGAGGGGACATTGGAAAGCTGAATGCCCTCGGAGGGCGACTGGATCCAATGGTTCGAACACTCAGGCCAAAGTCCAAGCTGCCAACACCGTGATCGCCTCAGGTCCAGAAGTGGATGATGATGCCGATGTCTATGTCGTGATGCCAGAAGTCATGACCGAAGATGATGTCGTCGTCTCTGTCCAGGACCCGTCTGCTGCTGAGGTTAAATCACACTCCCATAGAACCCATGTAATTTATCATAATACTCATGATAATGGGGTTAATGCTAAGAGCCGCCACAGGAATCGGGAGAAAGGCAAGTTCTTCATGGATGTTCGACAGTGCATGCGTCGGATCATTCAGAATCAGCAGCCGGGTCAGCCAGCCAGGATGCCCACAGCTGAGAGCTTGCGTGCAACCCCCTCTCTCGAAACACAGAGAGGTACTGCTGGTAGATCTTTTCAAGTCCGTGAATTTTCCGTACCTGAGACCATGCCTGCTGTAGGAAAGCCTGAGAAGCAACCCACATCCGTGATAGCCAGCCAACCAGAAATTGCCATGTTTGCCACAACACAGACCACTGGTATTTTGGATCTAGGGGCTTCCCAGACAGTCATGGGACAACATCAGGTGAATCAGGTGACTGAATTTCTTGCGAACCTGCCGACATCAGTCCGAGAGCTTGTTCAAGAACGACCAGTCAACATGTCTTTCAGGTTTGGAAACAACAGTTTAGTTCCTTGTCGTCGTGCACTGTTTGTTCCAGTTGATCGGTTTTGGATTAAAATTGCCATTGTAGAGACTCAGACTCCCTTTTTGATTTCCAACAGTGTTTGTCGCAGTTTGGGGGCCGTGATTGATACCAATCGTCAAAGCATTTTTTTCAAAGTTCTGAACTGCGAGTTGCCTCTTGAACTGTCCAGCAAGAGACTTTTCATGTTGGACTTTTGTGCTCTGACTGCATGCCGACCGCCACAACTGATGACATCCGACGAGAGTGCAAAACATCGCCTGATCGCAGCAGATACCATTCTGCACAGCCAAGAAGTGGACCCTACTCAAAGTGACCATGCACTTGTGTCCGAAAGAGATCCACAGTTTGAGGTGTCAGGTGCCAAGGTGAATTCACTTTCCAATCAAACTGACATCAAAAGGGAGACACTCTCCGGATACCAACATGTTATGACCGAAAGTAGAACCCAAGAATCATGTTCCAAATCTGATCGATTTCAGCAGCCAGATCGAACCATCAGAACGAGGCCCTCGTGTGACGTCTCTCCGACCGTTGTTTCCAATCAGTGCCATGTCCAAGCTCGACCTAGTGTCCCGCTTCGATGCAATCAATGCCCTGCAGACTCAGGAAACTCAGGAGACCGCCCTCAAGAAGATGACCTTCGAGGACTTGGGATGTCAGACAGTGTTGTTTGGAGAAGCCAAGAAGGGTCAGAAGTTCTCAGAAGTGGTGCAGAAAGACCCAGCCTACCTACTGCCGTTGGTTTCTGAAGAAATGGGGAACAAGCCCCAAACCGGAACATCGCATGTTCTGCCAGTACCTGACTCTGTGGGTGGAACAAAAGGAACTCACCTTGGGCTTGGACACCGTCGAGGAAACCCCAGCTGGAAATCCTCCGGAGAGTTCCTGTGTGTACCCCAAGGCCAAAGCCAAGAGTCATGGGAAACCTTCCATGCCGCCAGTGACTATCGACCTCGAGCTGGAGGACGAAGAATGCTGGGATCGCCTGTCTCAGCCAATGCTCCTCAAAGAGAACGAGAATGCCCAGAGACTGGATCATCTAGAAGGGGTACTGAGCGAAATTGTGAATCAGCTGCAGGTGTTGTCTCAGCACATCACAGCGATGCCAAACAGCAATTAGCTTCAAATGCTGAGACCTTTCTGATTGAGCAGTGCATCCGTGAATACAATCTCTTCCTTGACAATCCAGGACAGAACAAACAACCGGATCATGTTGACTTGCCACGTCAACCCTACCGACAAAATACAATACTCCAAGAAATGATCCAATATGGTGTGTCTCAGGGATGGATCACAAAGGATGGTACTCTGGTAGGTCCAAAATATCCGGGAATTGATTCATTGGAAATTTACTGCTCTTCAGATAGCCAGCTGACAAAGCAATTCATTCGCCAGGGCCTTCGAGCGATGCGGTTTGGCCTGAAAGAAGGTGACTTAAGTTGCCTTGAGGGTAGAGCCAGATTGTACCATGTGCTTTTCAGGTATAGACCCAGAAACGTATGGATGTCGCCGAAATGCAAAGCCTGGTGCCGATGGAATCAGTTCAACGCCAACCGTTCGCCTGAAATGGCCAACAGAGTCATGCGTGCCAGGCAGGAGGATGAAAGCCATCTCTTGCTGTGTGAAGCCGTCTTCACCCTTCAGAGCGATCGTGGGCCTGATTTCCACTTCCATTTGGAACAACCAATAGGCTCTGAGATGCTGTATCAGGAGTGCTTGCAAACCATTGTAGCCAACACGTTTATGACCCGATGTGACTTGTGTACAGCTGGTAACCTGAAGCATCCGATCAACAAGTTAGCTCTACAGAAAGGTACCCAAATTCTTACCACTTCTCAAATCATGTACCAATACTTAGGATCTTTGCGATGTCAACATGAACATGAACACACACATGTTGCGGGATCCTTCAAAGATAAGAATGGGGTACGCTTGAACGTGTCAAGGTTTACCGAAGTATATACTCAATTTTTTGGTCATCGAATTGCTCGAACTTTTGCAGCAAGCAAGAAGGTAACAGAACAATCATGTGTTCATGTACAGACTGCTTTTGCCGGGGAAATGGAAGATGAGGCCACTGAACCTGTGGTCAAACGCCGTCGTTTGGCCTTCAAGGTGACCAATCCACCTGGCTACCCGGAGCAGCCGCCTCCTGCGATTGTGCTGCCAAATTCAATGCCGAGCGAAGCGCCCAAGTCTGAAAGTGAGAGCCGGAATCCCAATGCAGATCTCGAAATGCCAAATGAAGTCTATCGACAAGTGTTGCAGCAAGCTCTGTTACAAGCCCCACGAGTAGGCACTGTCGTTCTGCATGATGGGAATCTTTTTGACTCACTTCAGAAGGCTTTTCCCCAACGAAAGTTGAGAGTTGTCGAGCTTTGTAAAGGGGCTGACCGGTATCGAAAACCCTCCCATCAAACTGATTCCTCATGAAGCACCGTGGCGGAAGACTCTCAGCCTGCATAGACAAAGCCTTGAGCCTGACCTTAGTCCTTGGGTCCACTGGGAACGCCTGAGCAATCGTCAAATGTGTTCATCAGCCCCATCTCGATTGATGGTGACAATGTTTGCCAAAGAGATTCAAGGGGAAAAAAGGGGGTTCCAACTTGATAACAGCATCCCAATGAAGAAAGCCCGAATAGACCACCAAGACCAAAGCATGCCTGATGAGCTTGACAGAATAGCCCGAAACCTAGGACTAGATGCCAATGGTGATGAAGCTCAAATTGAACCACCACTTGCTTCAAATGAAACCTCAATATCTCAAGATTCCAAAATTGATGAACACCAGTCACTTGACCAACTTCAGAAATCCACGTTGAAACATGGACCAAAATTTTTGAAATTGAATCTCCAAGAACGACAGTGGTTATCCAAGATTCACCATAATCTAGGACATCCCAATCTAGCAAATCTCCAGGCTGTACTGAAGAATCAAGGTTTTGATGATCGATTAATCCAAGGGTTGTCAGACTTCCAGTGCGGGACCTGTCATGAACTGCAGGAACCTAAGATCGCCAGACCTGCATCACTGTCCGAGCCAAAAGATTTTAATGACAGCGTTGGATGTGATTTGATCACCTGGACGGCCAAAAGTGGAAAATCCTTCCAGTCTTTACACTGCCTAGATGCGGCCACAAGTTTCCAGTTAGCTGTTCCAGTGGTGCGGATCGATGCTGAATCATTAATTGAATCAATTCAGGACTGTTGGTTTCACTGGGCTGGACCCTGCAAACAACTGATCATCGACAATGCCTCACCCCTATGTTCCGAACAGTTTTCTATGGCTGCCCAAGCAAGTGACATACACCTCAGAGTTGTTGCTGCCTATGCTCACTGGCAAATGGGTAAGACCGAGCGTCATGGGGATATCCTCCAAGATATGCTTCAGAAGTTTGATAATGACCATGCCATTCAAGATGAAGATCAATTCAAGATGGCATTACGCCACATTTGCTGTGCCAAAAATGCATTATCACGTGCTCAGGGATACACTCCAGAAATCTTGGTACTTGGAAAAAGCAGACCGCTACCAGGTAATAACACTGAGGAAGTCCCAACAGCCGCTCAATATCTTGCAGAAAGCCAGACTCCTGAAGGTATCCGCTTCAGGCAACAACTTCAGCTCCGTGAAAGCGCAAGACGAGCTTTCATCTCAGCAGAAAACAGTGAGAAGCTTCGCCGTGCCTTCCTGAGACGTCAAAGACCGCATCGTGGTAATTTCACGGGTGGCATGTTTGTCATGTACTGGCGACCTGGCAAAGGAGAAAGTCCTGGTCACTGGCATGGGCCGGCCAGGGTCATAATCCAAGAATCCCAAAGTGTTGTTTGGGTTACTCATGCCAGCCGTGTGTACCGCGTAGCTCCAGAGCACCTCCGATGTTTGTCGGAGCGAGAAGCCTCACAGAGCCTTGAAACCTTGGCCCGGGACCCAATTGCCATGCCAGCCAAAGCCATGGGGAAAGGGGTTTTTCAATATGAAGATCTTACCGAAGTCAAATCCGACAGCTCAACACCAAACGGTCCCATAGCCAATGACACGGTAATTCCTGTACCTGTACCAATCAATAACCCAGACAATGAAATCATCCAACCTGATTCCGAACCTGGTAACCCTCCAAGCATCCCCAATAAGAGAAGTTACTCTGCAACACCACCCATAAGTGAACATTCCCGAAGTCAAACTCCACCACCCACACTTGAAGAGATACCTACAGATCCAAAGGATGTTCCAGTACCTGAAGCTGGAGATGATGAACTCATGGTTGAAGATTTTTGGATATCACAGGGTGACCAACTTATCCGTGTCCACAAAAGGCCGAGAACTCATGCCTTTGAGCCAACCATGGCCCTTGACTGCCCATGTGACCTGCTGAAAATTGGTGAAGACCGCATCACAACCGGTGCTGCACTGGGACAATGCCCTTGGAGCCAAACAGACCAGTGGGGAGCTGAAAGTTCCCGTTGGGTCACTGAGCAGCCATGGACTGGCATCATAGTTTTCCATGTGGTTCAAGATGGGGGTGATGAAATCTCTGAAACTCAAGATATCATGTATATATCTTCAGATCAATCGTTTGAGTGTGAAATATTCCTGACTGAAAACGACATTGATTCTATCCAAAAGACACCCGAAGAATTTTCTGTATTGGTAGCCACCGCAGCCAAAAGACAAAGGGTTGAAGTAAAACTCAAAGACTTGACCCCTGATCAAAGAGCTGAATTTGATCAAGCCAAATCCAAAGAGATAGATCAGTGGCTGGCAACCGAAACAGTTCGCCGAATCCTCAGACACCAGATTCCTGATGCCAACATCCTCCGCTGCCGATGGGTGCTCACTTGGAAAGACCTTGATCCACTGGATGCCGCCCGGGAGGGTAAGTCTCGCAAAGCAAAGGCTCGACTTGTGATCTTAGGATATGAAGACCCAGATATAACAGATATCCCTCGAGATTCACCAACCCTTCAAAAGGAATCCAGGTCACTTCTTCTCCAGATGTGTGCTTCGCAAAAATGGAAAATTCGAAGCTTTGACATCAAGACAGCATTCCTTAGAGGATCCCGACGCGATAACAGAATTCTAGGTGTAGATCCTCCTCCCGAAATGCGGACCCGATTGCACCTCAAGGAGGAAGAAACATGCGAACTGCTCAAGTCAGCTTATGGTTTAGTCAACGCTCCATATTTGTGGTACCAAGAACTGAAAGATGAACTTCTCAGACTGAAATTCCGAATGAGTCCGTTGGATCCATGCCTGTTCTCCTTAGCTGACGAGAATGGCAATGTGCATGGCCTGCTCGGTATCCATGTCGATGATGGTCTTTGCTGTGGAAACTCCGTGTTTAGTAAGACCATTGACAAACTTGAAGAAAAGTTCCCTTTTGGCTCCAAAAGAGACACAGATTTTACATTCACTGGAATTCACATCCACCAAGACCAGCAATGGAAGATACACTTGGATCAAAAGGACTATGTACTTGGAATTCCTCCAATTTCCATAGGCCATCACCGCAGGAAAAATGAACAAACTCTCGTCTCAGAGACAGAACGACAGGGACTCCCGAGGACTGATTGGATCACTTCAATATGCCTCTATTAACACCAGACCAGATGTGTCCGCCAAATTAAGTTTTCTCCAATCAAAAATTAATTGTGCCACCATCCATGATCTTCTTGAAGCGAACCGCTTACTTGGTGAAGCAAAAAGGCATGCCGATGTCACCGTGACCATGTCCAGTATCCCAGTAAGTCAAGTCCATCTAATATCCTATTCAGATGCATCCTTTGCTACCCGAGAGAAGAAACAAAGCCAGAAGGGAGGGTTGATTCTTGCAACGCATGAAAATGTTTTCAACCAGAAAAGTGCCCGAGCAAGCCCACTTGTTTGGTTTTCTAATAAGATAGGCAGAGTAGTTGCAAGCACCCTTGCGGCTGAGACGTTTGCCCTGTCTACCGCAGTAGACTTGCTGGATTGGATGCGACTTGCATGGGAATGGATCAGATGTCCACTCATACCATGGAAAAGCCCTGAATCAGTGTGGAAGAAAGCACCCTCAAGCATTGCAGTAGTGGATTGTAAGTCCTTGTTTGATGTGATCTCAAAGAACACAACACCACAGATCCATGACCATCGCACGTTGATTGAAGCTCTTGTAATCAAAGACCATTTGCAATCCGGAATCCAACCACACTGGGTTCATAGCGCAGCTCAACTGGCAGACGCGCTGACGAAATCGATGGACTGCTTCAGGATAAGAGACTTCTTGAGACACTGCTCATGTTGCTTGCATGATGTTGAAGAAATTCTGAAAGAAAGAGCAGACAAGAAAGCCCACAAAACATGGCTTTCTCAGACTGCTTCCGAAACCTCCGACAAAGTGGCCTCAGGGGAATTTTATAATGGGGTAAAATAATGATTTGAAACATAAAAGATAAAGTTTTGGGAGTGTGATTTTTCAATAATCCATTCCAGCAATCCATGGGGTCCGTCGTCATGTCCACTACATGCCTGACTTGTGGGTCCATCCGTTACTACAACTTCCAAAGCTGCCAGCTTGCCGATGTGTAGGCCCGAGACAGGGGGTTGTACGTAGGTGGCGAGTTCCAAAAGGGTGGACTTGTGCTGCCAGGGTTGCGGCCGGTGTTTTCTTCGTTATAGCCATAGGAGTGGCTGGGTTCAATCTAGATTGTGGAGATCGTGGTATTCCCATTGGTATTTGGATTCAGGTGGATCACAACATTTCCTTTTCTATTGGTTTGGACGATCATTCTGATCATCGTTGAGGAACCTGTTGGAGGTGAAAGGCGCCCTACCAATTCACAATATATATATATATATATATCATATATTATATATCATATATCATATACATAATACCCCTTGGTTGCTCCTAGAGGGGGTCCAGCCCCTGAAATAGTAGACCCCAGTGGCTGTTTTCCAGAGGGGCCTGACCCCCCCATACCCCTTTTGAGCATTTCTGAATGGATAAAATCTAGGGGCCCAAGTCTAGCATTCGTAAACCAAACATTTTTGCTAACACTCAACTTGGACAAGGGAACCAATACTTTGGAGCATTTTGGACGTTCCAAAATGATCAAAGGTCAGGCCCCTCAAAATATTTTGGGCATGTTGTGAATATTTAGGACATACATGTTTTATCTGTGAATCTTATGAAACCATGGGCCTCCTGGATTTTAGCCATCGATTTTTTCTGCATGCCTCAGATAAGCTGGCCACTTTGAAAGGTTTTCAACGGAGATAAAGTTGATAAACATGTCATAACTATCTTCACAAGAACACAATTTCTGCGCACCTTTAACGCCAGTTTTCTTAGAGAGATTCATCTATCAAGGTTAGCGGGTACAGATGTTATTTTCAGGCTTCCCCTCCAAGTTTCAAGAGCAAAGATTGGACAAGGCGAGGTGTTGGTTTCCAGGATTTGGTAGCCTTTTTTGGAATCAATTTCAGTGTGTCCTTGATGTGCAGGAGACTTTGTTCTGGATTTACTTTTAACAA